TCGTTTTTCTTGATTTTTTAAGCTTTATTTTATGTTTATTTTTGGTTGTTTTTCTTTTGAGTCTTGGTCTCACTGATGACCCCAGGCTGGCCTCAGCGTTGGAGCAACAGATAGGCAGAGTTGCTTGTGGCTGGGGCTGACTGTCATACTGAAGCCCTGGGGTCAGTGTCAGCAGGGCCATTTTCATCTCTAGCTGACTTGAAGCGTGCCTGGGTTACCTGAGACCTGGAAAGAGAGGGAAGAAGACTGAGATGCCTCCGTGGAGAAGGAGCTTGCTGCCACGCCTGGCGACCAGAGTCCAGTCAGGACCCACATGAGCAGAGAGAACAGACTAGGGAGTCTGAGCTAGGTCCTTTGAGCTCACACACGTGCACACAGAAAAATAAATACACATGAAGACATCTAAGATTTATTTCTTGTGTATACAGTGTTCTGCCTATGTACACCTGCCCTCCAGAGGAGGGCGCCAGATCTCATTACAGATGGTTGTGAGCCACCATGTGGGTGCTGAGAATCGAACTCAGGTCCTCTGGAAGAGCAGCCAGTGCTCTTAACCACTGAGCCATCTCACCAACCCTGACTTTTATATTTTAATTTGTTTAAAAGTCAAGCATAGTGGACACATCTGTCCCCTCAGCCTCAGGAGGGATGTCACCATGGGCTCAAGGCTGGCCCAGGCTCCAGACTGAGGCAGTCTCTACAAATGCACACAGGCAAACCGGCCTCGCAAGCCAACAGTGCATGCAAAGGAATCCAAGCTGCTTGGGAAGCCGAGGCCAGAAGATTACTTCAGCACAGAAATTTTCACCACTCTAGAATGTTCCCTCAGTATATTTATTATTATTATTATTATTATTATTATTATTATTATTATTATTATTATTAATTTGATCCAGGGTCTCATGTAGCCCAGGTTTGCCTCAAACTCCTTATGTAGACAAGGATGACCTTGAATTTCTGATCCTTCTGCTCCTGTCTGTTCCCCAGTCCCATGCTGGAGATTGACCAGGGCTTTGTGCACGCCGGGTGGCTGGGTGAGCTCTTCCACCAGCTGAGCTCTGAGCACTGTGCTGGCTGAGCCCCCATTCTCATACCCTGGCTGGAAGCCTTTTATCATATTACCTCCCCCCCAGCGAATCCCAGCACTTGTTTCCACTCTCTGTCCCCAAACAGTGACCTCATTATCTGACTATGGTTGTGCAAGGTGACAGTCTCCAGGTATTTCCCTCCAAAGTCCAGATGCCTCAGAAAGAGGTCACAGGTGTGGGGCTCCTGTCTTAGAGGTGCAGGAGGACAAACAGGGACCTGTCGCCCCATCTCAGAACAACTCTTCTCTGGGTAGAGAAGGTGAGACTCGAATCCAGGGCATGGGGAAGAGGGGGAACCTCCGTCTTCCCAGAGCTGCGGCAGGGCCGGGTCCCTGGCGGTGACCTCATCAGGCTTTGGGACTCTACCTCAGAGATATGCTTCTGGGCTTCTGGGGAAGAAGATTGTTTTGATCCATCTGCAGTCAGTAGGTTCACAGAAAGAACATGTAGCCCAGGTTGGCCCTGAATGCTAATCCTTCTGCCTCCACCTCCCCACAGGTATAGGCATTGCTGTGGCTTCAGTTATATAGGTGAGCTCATTTGACAACTGAGTTCTGAGCACTCTCTAGCACTCCCCTCCCCCAGCTACAGGCCCCTGTCCACCGGGCTGCACCTGGGCCCTGAATTTTCCAGGTACCCCTGGAGGGCGTGTGGAGGTGCCGCCTGCGTCCCCATGGCCTCTGGACAGGAGGGGAGGAGACCTAGGCTGTAATGGTTTCTCAACAGAGTGCAGCATACCAGCCTTGCCACATTTGCAGGTTGCCCTGGTCCTGGCCGCCTCTGCCCATGCCGTGTGTGTGTGTGTGTGTGTGTGTGTGTGTGTGTGTGTGTGTTTGACTCTTGACCTGGATCTGATGCAGTGGCCACAGCTGCTCAGCGTCCCTGGTCCCCTCCCCCTCCACAGATCTCCTGGCTCCCCTTGGTGTTCAGAGAGGAACGAGGTCCTCATATTCTTTCTCTTACTATTTATGTCTGTGGGGACCAAGTCTCATGTAGCACAGGCTAGCCTTAAACTGTCTATTTAGCTGAGGGTAGTCTTGAACTCTTGACCCTTTTGCTAGGTGTGCTCCACTATGGCCAGTCTCTGTGGTGCTCTGATGGGACCCAGGGCCTCCTGTGTGCTGGACGAGCACCCCTACCCACTGAGCCACAGCACTGTGCTGACAGGGTCGGTCCCCTTGGTGCTGATGAAACTAAACTTGGGTATCAGCAGCATTGATCCCGGAGTTCTGGGAGCTATGGTGTCGCCAGAGTTCGCTTGTTTTCATTTTACCTACAGACCTGCTGGGGTCACAGGGTTCTCCTGATAAGGGAAACCTCGCTCCAGGGGACAAATGCGGTGTCACCAGGGCGCAGGGCCCTGGAGCCAGGTCAGGGCGCTCTGCACCAGCAGGACCCATGCCCCGGCTGCCCTGTTGACCCTCCCCAAGCACACCGAGACCCTGACGCCCTCTGCCACTTGCCTGGGCCACCCGTGAGCCTGTCACCAGTGGGGAATGCAGCTCAGGGCGTGGTCAGGTTCCATGGTTTTGCTCTGTCCAGGCCGTGTGCTCTCTGAGAATGCCTGTGAGTCTGTAACTGAAAGCAAAATACCGCAGCAAGCACATGCTGTTGTCCTAACTGCAAAGCTGAGGCAGGGGCATTGGGGCATCCCTGGCTACACGACCGGGTTGGGGGCAGTGACAGCCCGGAGAGGCCTGTTCCCAAAACAAGCACACAAAACAGGCGCTGGAGATGATGTGCGCGTGCGCGCATGCGTGCACAGCAACCTGCGTGGGGAGCTTAGGCAGCTTCAGGAAATCTGCCCTTGCCGTCTGCCCTGTGGGTCCGAGGGCTTGGCGCCAGCACCCTTACCCGGGAGTCCTCTCTACCCCGTGCCTTCTGTCTTTGGTGGAGTATTACTCACCCGTGAGAAAGAACGAAGGGCCCAAGTAGGTGAATCGTGCTGATGTCACGCGGGAGAAAGGCCAGGCCATTTACACTGTGAGACTCCCGTCCTAGGACTTTCGACCCCAGCTACCATACACAGTGAGGAAGTCGGTGACAGGAACGGCCTGTGTCCTGGTGGTGGTTACATGGCATATGCACTTTTAAAGCTTCTGTCTATTTGTCTATTGGGGTTCACTGTGAACCCCAAAGGGTTTCAGTGTGTGTGTAGGACCCTTAACAGAAGCCGTGTCATTAAATGAAATCCTTAAGAAGGCTCACTGTTGCAAGGTGGGGGCGCACGCCTTTAATCCATGCACTCAAGAGGAGGGGGCAGGCAGATTTCTGAGGTCCTGGTCTGCAGAGTGAGCTCCGGGACAGCCAGGGCTACACAGAGAAACCCTGTCTAGGGAGGGTTTTGCTGTCATGGCTGCTCCTATTTCCTTAATGTTTTTATTGACTTTAGGCAGTGGTTGTTTGGATGGCCAGGGTTTTAGGTAGCCAAGGCTGACCTTGTACTCACCACGTAGTCAAGGATAACCTTAAATCCCTGCTCCTTTGCCTCCACCTCCTAAGTGCTGGGGTGGAGACATGTGCCTGCCTGCATGCCTACCTTCTGGCCTTTCTGTGCAACCAGCTCTCGTCAGCATCCTTGGCTTCCTCAGGGTCCCTGTGGTCACAAGCGCCACCTCCACCACGCGCATTTACACACTTGTTTGTTTGTTTTCGAGACAGGGTTTCTCTGTGTAGCCCTGGCTGTCCTGGATCTTGCTCTGTAGACTAGGCTGGCCTCGAACTCACAGAGATCTGCCTGCCTCTGCCACCTGAGTGTGCCACTGTTGACCAGACTATGTATGTATGATGTGGGTATGTATATCTGTATGTATGTATGCATGCATGTATGTATCTATGATGTATGTGTGTATGTATGTATGTATGTATGTATGTATGTATGGGTTTTGAGGCACTGTCTCGCTGTGCACCTGTGACTGTCCTAGAACTAGCCATGTAGACCAGGTTGGCCTCTGGATCTAGTGTTGGGGTGAAAGGTAGGCATTTCGACACCTGGGCCTCCTTTCTTTGATCTTTGAGTTTCTGTGTGTCTGTCAGTGCGGGCTGAGGGACTCATGTCTCCCCCTCTGCCTCCCATGGCCCCATCTTGCCCAGCTGTCTGTTATTCTTGTGCCTTTGGAATCTCAGTTGAACAGGGGGTCTGGGGTCTGGGGTTGGATGGGTTTTGTGAGGCCAGGGACGTGACAGCCACACAGAACCATCCCGGGAGCCCAGGCATCTGGCCAATGTCTCTGTGCACCCTAGACCTCAGAAGAGGGTCCCCAAGAGACCCCAACTTCTGGGACCTCTTCTCCTCCTCCCCTCCAAGCACCATGTAGGCCACCTCCAAGGGCCTCAGCAGGGTCGGTGACCAGGGACACAGGGTCTCTTGTAGTCCATGGACCCAAAAAGGGAGTAACTTGGCACCTTGGGCTCCAGCTAACACCAGGGACATATGTGGCTGTCATGGGGGGAGCTCTTGACTGGGAGCCAGCAGAGGCCAAGTGTCGTGAACAGTTTCCACGAGCCTCTGTCTTCTCCGAGCCTGGTTGCCATGCCCTAGCACACCAAAGGTGTAATTATATCTCACCCACAAGGAGAGCTAAAACCTAACCCTGCCTTCCCGGCCTTTGAGTCCAGTTCTGGCAGCTCTCCCAGGGCTGTTCTGAAAGGCCATCACCCCAAGTGATGTCCCGAGTTCTCGAGGGCCACCAGGAGCCCGGTGCTGCAGTCACCGAGACCACAGCCAGGAGCTCTGCAGGCTCCTGTCCACCCCCGGGGCTGCCACGTGCCGGGCCTTCTGGCCAGCTGCCTGTAAGGAACGAGCCCAGCTGACTCAGCAGCCTGCTTGTTTGGCTGTTGTTGACTGCTTGTGGGGGGGGGCATGACTGGGCCGTGAGTCAGGGACTGACTGGTGACACATGCTTCTGCCAGGACAACAGGGGACAGTCTGCAGAGGTGCAGCAGGCAGCTGTGTACCAGGAGAAGCATGGAGCACAAAACGTGTCCAGATGTGGGTAAACGCAGTCATGTACATACCGAGATACACAGAGGTGTGTGTGTGTGTGTGTGTGTGCGCGCGCGCGCGCGCTGCGAGCGAGCAGTATCAGCCAAGAATCCCCCAGAGCGGGGGCTGGGGGCGGGGCTCCTGAGTGGAGCCCTGACTGAGCATGCACAAAGCCAAGCAAGCACACAAGCCCATGCCTTCTGTGTGCTGGCCTCCAGAGATCCCCATGCACACAGAACACACACCTGAAGACAGACACTGATCTCCACACACACCCTCACTCAGACACATTCTTACATGTATGTGCACATGTGTGTGCTGTGCTGGACCGTCCCCAGCTTCTACTCCCCAGCTTTTCAAGAAAACACACAGCTAGGCCTGCCCTTCTCTGAGCAATCTCAAGTTGGAGTCCACGTGGTTTCCGGGTCCTGCCTTGAGAGTCCCAAGGAGCGATTTCTCTGCAGCCACAGGAGTGGTGCTGGATATCTGCCCACACCCCAGGCAGGGCCAGAGATGATGATGATGATGATGATGATGATGATGATGATGATGAATTGAAATCAGATTAAAAACATTGTTAAACTGGATGTGGTAGCCTGTCAACCCAGACCGTAAGAAACTGAGGCAGGAAATGGCCAAGAGTTCAGGCCAGCATATATGGAGACTCTATCTCAGAACAAAACAAACAAAAATCACTGCCTGTTCATGTCTAGCTGTAACAAAAAAACCATAAATCAATTCCATTGAGCATTGCCTAATGTGACATTTGATAAAACTATCAGCAAGGTCTGACAACAGGGCTCAGCTGGGAAAGGTGATTGCAGCCAAGACTGACAACCTGCCAGAGAAACCACACACTGTCTCCTACCTCAGTGTGGATACTCTAACACATGCAAAAGAACTCACACATACAAACAGGTGCGCATACACAGATTATTTTTAAACAATAGAATGTTAGGGGCCTTAACCAGGCAGTGGTAGCACACACCTTTAATCCCAGGACTCGGGAGGCAGAGGCCAGCTTGTGACAGTCTTCAGCTGAATTACCATCAGCCCCAGCTTGGGCCATGCTGGTCACATCTCAGGACCCATTCAAGTGAATGAACGACTCTGTGAGAGGCTGGAGTCACCAGACCCGGATTCTATCCCCCACCATGTGGGCCAGTGACTGCTGGCCTCTACCACACCCCTGGCAGGGACGGACTGTCCTCTGAGGGGTCGGCGGGGTCGCGGGGTCAAGGCCCACAGGTCTGATCAGCAGGTTCACACCCACCCCTCATTGCTTTCAGCTCTCTGGACGGTGGGGTCCAGGCTGATGGCTGATGATGTCAGGGACTAACAACGTTGCCCAGGCCCGGAAGCTGGTGGAGCAGCTGCGCATTGAAGCCGGGATCGAGCGCATCAAGGTGAGCGGGCCAGGCCGGGGCGGAGGGAGACCCGGAGAGGCTCCTCCGTGTGGGTTCTGGCTGTGTGACCTTGGGACACTCACAGGGCTCTCTGAAGCGCTCAGCCGAAGGAGACAGCCGTTGCGTGTGGCTGAGAAACGCCAGGTGCTCCATTGGCTGTGGCTCGGCTTCCGGCTGGCGCTTTTTCTTACCCGTAGCCCTCTTCTCCCCAGTGCTTTCTCTTTGGTGACCATGATGAGAGCGGGAGCCACAGACAACTGATTCATGGTTTTCATTTCTTGCTTTTTGTTTTGCTTTGTTTTAGTTTTGATTTTTCGAGACAGGGTTTCTCTGTGTAGCTCTCGTTGTTTGGGAACTCGTTCTGAGATCCGCCTGCCTCTGCCTCCCGAGTTCTGGGATTAAAGGTGTGGGATTAAAGGAGCCACCACCGCCTGGTCTTTTTTTTTTTTTTTTTTTTAAGATTTATTTATTATGTATACAGTGTTCTGGGCACCAGATCTCCTCATTACAGATGGTTGTGAGCCACCATGTGGTTACTGGGAATTTCTCTCAGGACCTCCGGAAGAGCAGTCAGTGCTCTTAACCTCTGAGCCATCTCTCCAAGCCCCAGATTTTCATCTTTATTTTTTTTCGAGACAGGGTTTCCCTGTAGCTTTGGAGCCTGTACTGGAACTACCTCTTGTAGACCAGGCTGGTCTCGAACTCACAGAGATCCGCCTGCCTCTGCCTCACAAGTGCTGGGATTAAAGGCATGTGCCACCACTGCCCAGCTCAGATTTTCATTTCTTGCAATAAGACTTTAAAAGGGCTGGGGCGTAGTCAGGGTGGAGCCCCGCCTAGAATCCCCAGTGAGGGGCTGGGGCGTGGTCTGAGGACTTCAGGCTTTTCTAGCAAGAGGTCGCCCAGCACCACCAAACCTTAGTGTTTGACTAATCAACATGGTCCCATACAGATTCGTTCAGATCTTCATTCACTGGGCCCCAGGGGCTTTCAGTTGGGGATGATCTGAGCACGTTCCTGGAGATATGTGGTCACAAATGGGCTTGATCTCACGTGACCCCAGCTCTCCGGCCAGGCTGGGCCGAGGACACCTCAGAGGAGGCCCGTGGGCCCCAGCTGAAGGTCTCTGGCAGACCTGGGCAGTCAAAGCATTCCTTGGGGTGGGGCACAGAACAAGGTCCTTGTTGAAGCAGTTTTGTGTCTAAGCTGGTGCCAACCCCCAGCCCGAGTGGAGGGCGCTCTGTGATTCATCAGGGCCTTTTTGAAGTCAGGAGGAGCCCCCCCCCCCCACAGCCAGTCCAGTCTGCGGGTGGCATAGGGTGTTATTAGCCTGGTCACCCTCGCAGGCACTCTGGGTTTCTGCACCTCTTGCGAAGTCACCATCAGAACCATAGAGGCTTGGGAGGACTCTGGAAGGGGACCTGAGTGCCCTGCTCCCAAACCAGCTATTTCGAGGTCTCTCAGGCTATTCTTGGGGTCACAGAGGATGAATTTCCAAGTAGGAGTCTGCGTCCGAATGTTCAAGGGCAGCAGCCCACAGGCTCTGAGAGGCGATTATCCCTGTCCCCAGGGCCCGGCAGCTTGGCCCAGCCAGGTTCCCAGTGTCTCCAACACACCCAGGTAACTGGGGTTTCAACTAAGCGGCCTGGAAGATGGCTGTGGTAGTGAACGCCTGCCACTCCAGACTCAGAGGAGCTCCAGGCCAACCCGGGCAACAAAGTGAGACCCCATCTCTGTAACAAAAGACCTGTGGGTGACTTAGCATAGGGTGTTTAGCTGAGTTGTCAGGGTGCAGCAGACAACAGACAACGGTGGTGCACGACTGTGGTCATCCTCAGCTACAGGCTCGGCCAGAGAGCAAGGGGCGTGGCCAGAGCGCAGGGGGCGTGGCCAGCCAGTGACAGCAGCCAACTTTCTGAGGAGGATGTCAAAGGTGAGCTGATGCCTGGGCTGCAGCTGAGGGATCAGTGAGACCCCAGAAAGCTGTGACAGAGGGACCCCAGGGGCCAGCTGGGGTGTGAGGCATCAGACTGACCTGGTCAGATGACAGGTAAGGCTTTTCCTAGGCACCTATCTTGAGTGGGGTGGGAGGGGATCTAATGAGGAAGGAATCCAGGCACTGCTTGCTTAAATGCTAGCAATTTGTGCTGAAGAGTGTTCAAAGTCCCATTCCTCTCTTCGCTTCTTTTGCCTGTGGGGGATGGAACCCAGAGGTTCACAGGAACTGGAACATTGGACCTCTAAGCCACGCCCCCCAGCCCCTCACGTGGTGGGGGCGGATTCTAGGCGGAGCTCCACCCTGACCACGCCCCTACCCCCTCACTGGGGATTCTGGGCGTGACTCCACCCTGACCACGCCCCGGCCCCTCACTGGGCGGGTTCTAGGCAGGAGCTCCACCCTGACCATTCCCTCAGTCCCTTTCAGTAGTATCTTTTTATTTTATTTTATTTTTGGTTTTTTTCAAGATAGGGTTTCTCTGTGTAGCTTTGGAATCTGTCCTGGAACTCTCTGTAGACCAGGTTGGCCTCGAACTCACAGAGAACCACCTGCCTCTGCCTCCCAGATGTTAGGGTTAAACAGGTGTGCGCCACCACTGCCCAGCCTGTGAGTGGTATCTTGTGTGTGCACAGTGTTTCTTACACATCCCCGTTGTCTACTTTCAGGACCATAAGCCTACTCAAAGCCTGTTTCAGGAGGCATCGTTTTCCCCATCTCCATCCCCTAGCGACCATGTAGCCATTTCCTGTCTCTGGATCATGGAGTCCACACTACGTGGTCTTCTGAGTCTGATTCTATCACCAAGCACAATGTCCTCAAGTCCTCCGTGATGCAGCCCGCGTCAGTCAGTGCGGTGGCTGCGGAGGGTGGCTCTCCTGTCTGACCTCCCTTTTCTCCTGTGCCACACAGGTCTCTAAAGCCTCGTCAGAACTGATGAATTACTGCGAGCAGCACGCCAGGAGCGACCCCTTGCTGGTCGGCGTGCCAGCCTCTGAGAACCCGTTCAAAGACAAAAAACCCTGCATAATTCTCTAGCACTCTCTCTCTCTCTCTCTCTCTCTTGCGCTCTCTCTCTTGCTCTCTCTCTCTCTCTCTCTCTCTCTCTCTCTCTCTCTCTCTCTCTCTCTCTCTCTCTGCCCTTCCTGCCCTCCCACGTATTGTCCAGTTTTTACTGTGAGAAAAATATCTGAGTTTCTCACACTTTGATTTCTGAAGAAACGGAAACTAACTGAAGCAGATCCTCCCGAATAAGGTGGACTTTGCGACCCCACCGTGGGCCTCTGTGCGCCCAGATGTTACTGCCCCCACCCCCTCGTGTCAAGCACCGCTGGGAACCTGAGTGATGGGACTGTGTTATAAAACTCCCCTTAGCTGCTTAGCTAGCGCTGGGGATATGGCTCAGCGGGTGAGATGCATGTCTTACCGACACCAGGACCTGAGTTCTGATCCCACACACAAAGCCCAAGTGCAGGGGGGCATGCCTGCGCCCCAGCCCTGGGGGACAGAAGGAAGGATCCCTAGGGCACTGAACTCCAGTGAGGGACCCTGCCTCAGAACCAGAGGAATATAGCCAGCATCCACAAGGCACCCTGTGCTGCCCCGTGTCCCTCCTGAATGTGGTCCTGTCATATCCGCGGTGATGTCCTTTCTCTGGGGACCCAGCCCCTTTCAGAAACAGACTTCCAGGCCCCCCCACAGAGCGAGCCATTGCTGGTATGACTGAGTGGGTAATTTGTTTTCTCCTAAGCCTGAGACCCATGTGGTCACTGGCAGCTCCTTTACCAAGGCCCTGTGAGGGCAGAAACACAAGGTTAATTCTTTTGAAGTGATTGAGAAAGAGTCACAGAGATGGGGTCCGTCCTGCATCCCACATGGGGGCGATGACTGTGACTCCGGATCCCCTTCCCCCTCCTTGGATCAAATCACTTTCCAACTGGCTGGAATAGGAGACCCTCAGTGTGAGGACTGCGGACCAGCTCTGCATTCTACCCTCACTGAAAGATCCTAGGCTCCACCATGACCACGCCCCCAGCCCCTCACTGGGGGATTCTGGGCGGGGCTCTACCCTGACCACGCCCCCAGCCCCCTCACTGGGGGATTTTAGGCAAGATCTCCACTTTCTATGTTGTGAGAATAGTCTGTCGTCCAGGCTGGCCCGGAACTGGAGCTCTTCCTGCCTCTGCCTCCAGAGTACATGTATGACTGGCCTCTGGTTCCTGACCTGGCCTGTATAGGTAGCAGTGACAGCGGCAGGTTGCAGGAGGAAAAGGCTTGGCTGTGCCAACCCTCCCTTGCAGGCATGGTCAGCATCAGGATGACCATGGATTCAGGAGTGTCCCGCGGTCTCAGGCCCTCGCAGGAAAACCAGTGCAGGCGCAGACAGCAGAAATGAAGGCAGTCCAGTTCTGTCCTGTGGCCCCGGTGAAAATCAGCTTCTAAGAACCTGAACCAGGCTGGTCCCTGGACAGTTGCCCGTGGGGAAAGTAGATGAGTCTAGCTCAACCCACCTCACCTTCCAGCCCCTCCGGGCACAACCTACCTCCTAGGTAAGGTGGCACAGCCCCCAACTCATTCTGATGGGGCAAGGGAAAGACATCTGTGGTGAGACTAAGGGGAGACGTTGCGGGTGCTAAAAGGGGACCCCGTCCCCCCTCCCTGGGCTGGCTCCCAGAGGACACAGACTGAAGGTCAGCCCCCTCCTGTGCATCGACTCCTCATTACTGGTCAAGGAAGATAGGAGCTTTGGGACTCCCTAAACCTGTGTTGGGATCAGAAAAGCCACTGTGTCTCCCCAAAACTATAGCCACCTTGCATTAGGGTGTGAACCAGAGCCCCGGGGTGTATTACCCAGCCTCGCTGGCAAGGAGAGAGAAAAGCGGGAACACTCAGCTTGTGTGCCAGAACCTCACTTGGGCTTCCTTCCCCAGCTTGCTGAAGCCAGGCATGGGCACGCTGCAGAGGCAGAGGCAGGAGAAACCACTCATTCTTTGCTACATAATGGACTCGAGGCTAGCCTGGGCTACATGAAACCATGTCTCAAAGAGAGGAAATTCAGCTCACTCGTCCATTATCCCCCCCATCCCAGCCTCCTTCAGGCGAGGCTGCTAGCAGCAGATGCCACGGCCAGTCCATGTGTGGTCACAGCGAGTTTTCCTTCCTCCACTCTGGGAAGAAAAGCTCAAATTATCATCTATGCCCGAATAAACCTCCCACTGCAGGCCAAGGGCAAAGTGACCTCTCGCTTCCTGGGGAAAGATGGACCTTGGGCCCCACAATAGTCTCCATGTCCCATCTTAACCACCAGAGCCCTGCCTCAGCTTGCAGAAGCCTGGACACAAGGGAGCCATCAGGAGCTGGGCTATGGTGGCGCAGGCCTTTACCCTAGCACTCAGGAGGCAGAGGCAGGGGAATCTCTGTGAGTTCGAGGCCAGCCTGGTCTACAGACATGGTCTAGCAAAAGGCAACGACACAAACCGTGAGATCTGCTGTAGCTTGAGCGACCGTGGAGGGACGTCCACGCCAAGCAGAAGCTGCCAAACCGTCCCTTGTCCTGAGCAGAAGCCATACGCACCCTCTCTGAGTGTCTGGGACACAATGGCCAGACAGGACATCACACAGCATTTCCCGTTTCCTGCGCCCCACTCCAGACCCGGCTCCCACCCCAATTTCCACCTGCATTGTGACATTGGTTGGTTTTCATTTCTGATTTTACGAAACTCTGTTGTGCCACACATGCGGGCCACGGCAGTGTGATTACTGCGGAATAAAAGCCCTGTCTTCTCTACCCTGACTCTGGACTCTGTTTCTCTCCCCGGCCAGGATAGCCACTCTGGACTCTGTTTCTCTCCCCGGCCAGGATAGCCAGGTGATGGGAGGGACGGCGGCCAACTATCCACATCCCCTTCCTTCAGGGATGAGCTTCAGCCCTGGCAGATCACAGATCTGAACATGGAAGTGTTTCATTGTTAGACAAGGGCCTTATGTAGCCCAGGCTGGCCCCGAGCTTATTTTAGAGCAAAGGCTAGCCTTGAGCTCTGAGCCTGGATGACAGGTGTGGTTGCCCTGCCTGCTTCATGCAGCTCTGCAGGTGGAAGCCAGGGCTTGCTTTTTTGCTTATGCTGGGTGAGTGCCCTACCCACTGAGCTTCTCCCAGCCTTTCGGTTTTATTCTGAGACTGGCACACTGTATACCTGCTTAGAGTCGCCCAGTAAAGGGCTCAGAACATGGCTCACATCATACGTGCAAAGGCCTTGGGTTACATCCCAGCACCGTAAAAACAAACAAACAAACAAATAAATAAATGCCCTTTTATTCCTAAGCAGTTGTGGGGTCAGAGGTTCACCAAGGGCATCGCTTACCTACACTTCAGGCCTGCAGTGCAGTTCCAGGGGATACCACCATCTACTCCATCACAGCATCTAGAGCGCCTGTGTCCCTTCATCCCTTGGCTTGCAGGATCATCCTCCTGCAGAGGCAGCAGGGCACGGTCTCCAGTCTTTTACCCACCTGCCTCCCTCCAAGGACTTGATGGATGGATGACACAGTATGATCCCCTGCTCAGGGTCCTCAGCTTAATCCATTTGCAAAGTTTCTCTGCTCTGGTAGAAGACATGTTGCAGGCCTAGAGGTGCAAATGAGGAGGTCTTTGGGGCTGGCTCCCAGGGAAGCCTAGCACAAGGCAGACAGTTATTTGCTGTTGCTCACATTCAGCCTTGTGACCCGAGGTTCACGGGTGAACTCGGGACAGCGAGGTGGGAAGGGAGAGCAGGCTGGAAGAGTTTGTGTTGTTCACTCTCTCAACCACTTAATGTGGCCTGTGGTTGCCTCTGAGGGGCCGTGACCTTGTGAACTCACCTGGACGGCGTTCTCAGGGTCCAGCCAAAGAGGAGGGAGGATCGATTTTCTGGCTCCCACTCTGCTTTGTGTAAGCAATGAGGCTCCCCTGTGCAGGATCTCACACTGTGACATCAGCCACGATCCCCCCGCCCTCGCCCCCAGTCAGCCATCCCAGGCTGGTGAAGTGGACAGAAATTGCAGGAAGTTTGGTGGGGGGAGGCAACCTCATGCCAGAAAGACTCAGGACAAAGAGAACAGGGCTCATTTCCAGAAGGGTCTGATGCATATGAGACAAAGACAGTCACACCACTGAGCCAAGTGAGCGAGCTGGTGAGTCACAAGCCACACACCCACGGATGCATACTCTCTCCAAAACAACCTCTCAGAGACTCTAAGGGTTCTAAATGGCTTTGTTTGGGTTTTCCCATGCCAGAGGGGGACCACAGCCACATGAAGGAATGAGACACAGAAGCAGCACTTGGGAGACTGAGGCAGGAGGATCTGGAGTTCCAGACTAGCCTGGGTTACAGAATGGGACCCTGGTGCTGGAGAGATGGCTTAGTGATCAGAACATTGACTGCTTTTGCAGAGGACCCAGGTTCAGTTTCCAGCACAACACAGTGGCTCACAACCACTTGCAACTCCAGTCCCAGTGCATCTGACGCCCTCTTCTGGCCACCCTGGGCACCGCATGCACCTGGTATGCAGACAGACATATATACAGAAAACACCCATCCACATGAAATGAATAAAATTAAGCTGGGCGGTGGTAGCGCATGCCTTTAATCCCAGAACTCTGGAGGCAGAGGCCTGTGGATCTCTGTTGAGTTCGAGACTAGGCTGGTCTACAGAGTGAGTTCCAGGACAGCCAGGGCTATACAGAGAAACCCTGTCTTGTCTCAAAAAATAAATAAATAAACAAGCAAACAAACAAATAAAATTTAAAAAGGAAGAATGGAACCCTGTCTAGATGGATGGATAGATAATAAAGAGATAGATGTTGGATAGACCATAGGCAGGTAGGTATATAGCAGATGATGGATAGATAGATATGGATAATAGAAAAACAGAATGATAGATGGCAGATGGATCAATAGGGAGGTAAAGCCTTCCCCCATTCAGCCCGACTAGGTGACTTTAGAGCTGTACTGTGGGTGGCACTGGGATGCTGTAGCCCCCACGTCTGGAGAAAGTTCTGCCTTGCCTCAACTCCCACTGATTCCTCAGTTCACAGCTCTGCTCACCCAGGAGAAATAAAATCATACATGGCTTCAACTCCTGGCAAAACAAAGTCTTGGGAGGAAAGTCAGGCATTTTCCCATGACCTCAGAATTCAGGAATTAGTGTGCTGGAGACTTCCAGGCCAGCCTGAGTTTCACAGTTAGACCCCTGTGTCAAGAACAAACAATTCAACAAATGAACGAATATGGGAAGATATGGTCAGGGCAGGAGGGATGGCCGAGACCATCACAGCTCTTGATATTCTCGCCGAAGATCTGGGTTTGGTTCTCAGCACCCACTTGAGGGCTCACAACTGCCTATGATGCCAGCTCCAAGGGACCCGATGCCCCCTTCTGGCCTCTGTGCATACTACACTCACATATACATACACGCAGACACACAAGTACTACACATAACTAAAAGCAAGATTAATCTTACTTCTTTTTCTTTTTTTTAAAGAAAGAAAAGAATGTTCTGAGCTGCTCTGGTCCTGAGACAAAAGTGGGAAGCATCTCAGGCATTCAGCCACAGTTGAATAGAGAAAGAGCACATGCCCATACCATAGGGTGCCACTCAGCCACGGAAAGGGACATGGCGCTGGTACAGGGTGACTCAGGGAAACTCTGTGCTGAGTGAAACAAACTTGACACAGAGGGAAACCATGGGAGTCTACAGAAAGCAGATGAGCCTTGGGTGAGGGCTGTGGTCACCAGGCAACAGCCCCAAAGATGTCCACATCTGAATGGAAGAGCCTGGAGCTCAATGGCCTTGTGTAGAACCAAAGAACCTTGTTCGAAGGTCCTGAGCATTCTAAAATCTCCAGGACCGGGCTGAGAGAAGAGTATTTGTTGCTCTTGCAGAGGACCCAGAAGCCACCTGGAACTCCAGCTCCAGGGGGATCCAACGCCCTCTTCCAGCCTCTGTGAGCACAGAAGGCTCATGGTGCACAGACAGACAAGCAACACACACACATTAAAGACACAGAGAGGGAGAGAGTCAAGTGTGTATCACCGAGACAGGACACACACGGACCAAAGACAGCTTCCATCCAGAACAGCTTTGCAAACCAATGATGCTTTAAAATCTTCAAAATTATTTTATTTTCCTGAAAGCATTTTATATCTATCTATCTATCTATCTATCTATCTATCTATCTATCTATCTATCTATCTATCATCTATCTATCATCTATCATCTATCAATCTATCTGTCATCTATCTATCTATCATCTATCTATCTATCTATCATCTATCTATCTATCATCTGTCTATCAATCTATCTATCAATCTATCTATTTTTATTTTGAGACAGAACCTTTCTGTCTAACCCTGGCTATCCTGGGACTTACTGTAGCTCAGGCTGGCCTCAATCCTCCTGCCTCCGCAGTACAAGGATGATGGTCCATGCAGAGCTACATACATCTCACATGGTCCAGCGAGTCCCTTGGAATTCCTCACAGGGGCATAGGCTACTCAGGCAGCTGGCCCACAAGGCAGTCCCACCCCCGTGTCATGGCCAATGCATGGACAGTTGGGTCACCAGAGTCCCAACCTCAAGGTGCAGAGAGGGTGTCCAGTGCCATAGATGAAGACCTCGCAAGAACTCAGGGGGGTAAGGGCTTGCATGCAAGCATACAGACCTGAGCCTGAATCCCCAACACCCAAGTTAAAGGCCAGACATAGTGATACACAATGTACCTCCGCGAGAGCTAGGGGATGGAGAAGAGGAACCCTGGGCTCACTGATCAGCAGTCTAGCAGTCAGTGAGCTCTGGAGAGGTGGAGAGACTGAGGAATACAGCTGCTTTCAGCCTCTGGCCTCCACACAGAACACAGTGGCAAAGGGAGCTAGGAGCCCTGCAGTCCCACCCCCTGCCTCTGAATATCTACTCGGGGAGGGCATGATGGCCTCCACAATTGGGTTGGAATAAGACACACACACCCTCAGAATAGGTAAAAGCTTTCCCCAAATCTGACAATATCCATTCCTCATCAAGTTGTCTCTTGGAAGGTCAGAAGGCTGGAGGTGGAGGCTCCTGAGCCGGTTTTTCCAGTTCTCCAGTTCCTCTCTGAGAGGAGGGTGGGCTCTTACAGGGAGCTTTAAGAAAATTGCACTCCACACTCCTGTGTGTCTTGAAAAACACTCACAAAACCCAGGCTCAGGATGGTGAGATGAGACCACCCCTATACCCAAGCAAGACTACTTTGGCGAGTTATCACCCATGCCTGTATGGGCTGTCAGGTTGCCTGATCCCCAAATGCTCCCATAAGTAGCCCCAATATGTTGATTTGGTCTTTACACAAATAAACAAATAAATAATGGAATGAGCCGGGCGGCGGTGGCGCAGCCTTTAACCCCAGCACTGGGGGCAGAGGCAGGAGGATCTCTAGGAGATTGAGGTCAGCTTGGTCTACAAGAGTGAGTTTTAGGACAGACTTCAAAACTACAGAGAAACCCTGTCTGGAAAAACAAACAAACAAACAAAACAAACAGACAAACAGAACCCTGCAGTGATGGACTGGAACCCAGACCAATTAAACCCTTCCTCTGTCTGCTGCCTTTTCTCGGGGTCATTTATCACGTGGCAGCAAGGGAATTAATACACTGGCCAAGGATACAGGCTGATGACTAAGGTCCAAAGAGATGAGAAAAAAACCCTTCCTGTTGAAGGGCAGGCTCATGTGGGGGGGGCGGGTGTCCTCGGGCGGGTTCCGTTCTCTGCAGGACA